TTTTTTTTTTTGTGTGTGTGTGTGTGCTCTATACTCCTGTTTTTGTGTGTGTGCTCTATATTCCTTTCCTGCTCAAATGGTGTTAATTGCTATATGACATAAATTAACCCCCTTACTGGAGCTAGCTTACCAAGGCGCTCAAATGGTGAAGTCCGGACTCTGGCTTACAACGGTGAACCCTTGCGAATATTTCTATCCATTAACTTATAAAAATATTTTAAGTTTTTAATGGAACAATGACTTGCAGTTTGTTTGTGTTTGATGGGTAAGTAATCGAAAAGATTGGTTGTGAATGACTTGTTTTTTTATGTCGGTTTGATGGTAAGATATAGAAAAGAATGATATATGATTTGATCACGTACTTTTGTGTAGATGATGAGGAGGAGGGAACCCACCTGGGATGCAGATGAAATAGAGACCATGTCCGTTATTCTTAGGTGAAATCAAATCAGCGCCTGCAACAATTTCTGAAAATTATATATCTATATATATAATACTACATTTTTGTATGTCATGTTCGAGTCTCAACATTGATGCACATTTCCAAGGCTTTAAGATGTTGATGACGATGATGATGATTCAAGTGCTTTCCTATTTCCGATAGGTAGAATAGTGGAACAAATTTATCAATAAATAAAATGGTTATAACTAATTAGAATAGTCTAATCAATCAGTAACAAAAATCAATTGAATTGAAAACAACAATACACAAATGCTACAAAAAAACAATTGAATTGAAAATTAAACAACAATACACAAATGCTCTAAATACGAATGGGCTATAAATAAATTAATGTAGAAATCAAGTTCCCAAGTTCTCACACAACAAAATCATAACCCAAAAAAAAAAAAGAAGAATTGGTAGAATAAGGGTAATTTTATAATTGTATAAAAATGGAAAAATGATTTGGAAAGACAAATTAATGGCCAATCGACAAACATCAATACGTACTAACAGAAAGAGTGCGAACGTCGTGTGCGTTCCCATTTTGTAGGTTTATTTGAACTTAAAAGATGGCGGTTAAAGACTTCCGTAGTCCAAGTTTCTCATGCACGCCATGAAAACCGGTCTCACGTTGCTGGTCAACAGAACATGTCGACTCCATTTCACTCTCCCTCAGCCCCTCCGCCGTCGTCTACACTCCACCTCCGGCGGACCTCTTCACCATCAACAATTACATTAACAGCCTAGCCAAAAGCGGCCAGCTGCATCTGGCCAACAAAGTGTTCGGCAAAATGCCTCAGAAAAACGCAGTTTCTTGGACGGTCCTCATTTCAGGCTATGCTCAGCATGGGAAGTCCGATCAATGCTTCCACTTGTTTGGTCAGATGATGTTCCATTTCAGGCCCAACGATTTCGCTTATGCGAGTGTGCTGTCGGTGTGCGACTGCCCACGTGGCCGGCAAGTTCACGGGCTTGTTCTGAAAACCGGTTTCGGTTCTTGGATTTATGTTGCTAATTCTCTCTTGGCCATGTACTGGAAGAACAGTCGTGATTCTGGTTCGGAAGCTTGGAGGGTGTTTGAGTCAATGGATTTCCGTAATCTTGTTACTTACAATTCAATGATTTCAGGGTTCGGGATGCATGGAGAAGGTGATAGAGCAATGGATTTATTCATAAGAATGCATCATGATGGGGTCGAGTTCGATCGTGCTACAATATTGGCTTTGGTTTCTTCGTTATGTGGATCAAATGAAGTGATGATCGGATTGTGGGGCTTACATGTTTTTTGCATTCTTGTGGTATTAAGGCTGGCTTGGTCCTGGATGTGTCAAAAACTGCTCTGATCAAAGGCTATTCTGCTCTGGCTAGCGAATTTAGTGGTTGTCTTAAGTTGTTCATGGAGACAAGTGGTAATGATCGCGATATTGTTCTGTGGACTGGAATTTTGACAGCTTGTGCCGAATGGGAACCTCAGTAAGCCCTGATCTTTTCAGTCAGATGCATCGCGAAGATTTCAGCCCAGATTGTTACATTTTTTCAGTAATGCTAAAAGCTTGTGCAAACTTGGTGACCGGAAGGATCACCTCTGCATTCCATTGTCAAGTGATTATTACAGGTTTTACTAATGTAATTGAGCTAGGCAATGCTTTAATTCATGCCTACTCTAGATGTGGTTCGATATATTGTGCAGAGCAAATGTTTGGTGAAATGCCCAAAAGGGACATAGTTTCTTGGAATTCAGTGCTGAAGGCCTATGCTGCTATGCAATGCATGGTAAGGCTGAAAATGCGTTGATTGCTTTCGAGAAATGGACGTTGGTCCCGATGGGACCATGTTCGTTGCCCTACTCTCTTCATGCAGCCATGCAGGTTGGTAAAACAAGGAATAAATTTATTTGATGCTATGAAAAGTAAGTATGGTGTAGTTCCGCAGCTCGACCACTATGCATGCATGGTCGATATTCTCGGCCGGGCTGGACATGTTTCGGAGGTCGAAAGAATCGTAAGGGAAATGCCTATGAGGCCCGATTATGTCATCCGGAGTGCTTTCCTTGGTGCGTGTCATAAATATGGGGACGCGAGGGCAGCCAGCCTTGCGTTGTCAAACTTGAAGGAATTGGATCCCGAAAACTCACTGGGGTATGTTTTGACCTCGAATATTTATTGCTTGTTTAGAAACTATGATGTAGGTGGTTCCTTGCGAATGAAAATGAATCATATTGGGGTTAGAAAGGAACCGGGTTTGAGCTGGACAGAGGTGGGCCACCGAGTCCATGAATTTTCCTGTGGGGGCCATCGGCACCACATGTTAATCCACCAATTATGAATAAAGTGGCAGCCCACTGGTGTTGAAAAAAAAGGAGCTGCCCACTCCTTTAGACAGCACACGGCAGTTGAAAAAAAAGGAAGCAACATTGAAGCTGCCTTTTGTGGAAAATTGATAGTATTTCCTATCTATAAATACTGAGCAAATCAGATGAACAAAAACACAACAAAAATACAACAACACAAGAAGAAAGAAAAAAGAGAGTGAGCTAGAAAAAGAATTTTAGCTTTTGTGTGTATTTTTGTGTTGTGAGTTGTGAGTGATTTTGAGAGTGTTTTGTAAACACGAGTGTATTTCTTTTTACCAATAAAATATCTGCAGTAGTCCGGAGACGTAGGCATTATTGGCCGAACTCCGTTATCAATTTGGTGTGTCCAAATTTTAATTTCACTTTTATAGATCCGACTTCATGGAAATTTCAGCGTATTTTTCCCAACACCACAGATTCGAGAAATCCGTGCAAACATGGAGTTTTTGTTGAGAGATTTGAGGAAAATTGGGTATGTCCCTGAGACGAGTTTGGTGTTGTTTGATGTAGAGGAAGAGCATAAAGAGGAGCAGCTTTATCAACATAGTGAAAAGCTGGCATTGGTTTTCTCCTTGACGAGTGCTGGTAATTCAAATCGCAATGGTGATGTTATTAAGATAATCGAGAACATTCGGATCTGTTTGGACTGTCATAATTTTATGAAATTTGCTTCGAATCTTGTCCGTAAGGTGATTGTAGTGAGGGATGCTAACCGTTTTCATCATTTTAACGAGGGAACCTGTTCTTGCAATGATTATTGGTGAATGCATACGCTTTTTCGGTCATATAATGGAATATCAATGACAAACTGATGTTTTCTCTATAGAGAAAAATAGGAAACAGTACACATGTGATACAGATCAAAAGAGCCATTATTGGGAGCGAAATTTATTCTGCAAGCTGAATGAGGGTAAATGATGATCTTTTCAGACATTGATTTTGCATTTGGTTTTATTGCACTTGGACACGCAGTCACTCATCGCCTTCTCATCTGCGAAAAACGAAACAGCAGATTGGAGAAACTTTGCAGGGAGGAGACCAAAAGCCCGAGTTTAACTTGTAAGTGCGTGTGTGTGTGTTGGAATTTAGAAAGAAGGGAAAAAAAAAAGAAAAAAAAGTGGTTACCTTTAGTAAACTCGGCGCAAGTATTGAGCATGCATCCGAGATTACAGTAATGTTGTTTAGTCGAAATTTGTTGAGAAAGGCAACGGACCGGACAGTATTTGGTGCAGATGGCAACATCAATACCGCTAAGTGTGCATTCTGCCACACAATGCTTAATGCAAGTTCCTGGCGGGAAATGAGAGGTGACCGAACGAACACTAAGCATTGCCATTAGCAGCATAAGCCCGGTTATCATTTGGATTCTTTTACTCTCCATTGAATGAATAAGGGACTGTACTGTTGACTTATTGGATGAAGAGGAAACGGGTTTTTTTATAGCCATTTACTTATTGGATGAAGAGGAAACGGGTTTTTTTATAGCCATGTGTACTACATAAGATGGCTTAGAGGCTCCACAAGCATGTATACATGGCCGTTGGTTCATTTACTTCATATGACAACACCTTGCTTAAGTTGTGATCAATGAGATGGGCCGTTCTACTTGTACTTTTCCTACTTGTGTAATTCATGATTATATCAAGAGGATAATCAATCCACCATGACAGTATGTGATCTCGTCTGTTGTGGGATTTGCACATTACATCGAGAATTTTCTGATTGTGTCAAATTTTGATTTTCTCTACACAAATTTCTGAAGTACTTTTACATTTAATCAATTTTAATTCTAATTTAGTTTACGGGATAAACAAGAAATGTTCTTTTTATGCTGTTTTGTGCAGGAGATTACACACCGTAAAATGAGACATCGAATTACATTCAATCTCTTGAACACACTATTTTAACTTCAACAAATTTAAAAAAAAAAAAAAATGGATGGATACTTTAGAGGTAATTTACATCAGTAAATGACTTTTCCTAACGGACACACTAAGGTGAGTTGTTTATTAATTTAAGATTCGTTTATGAACTCTTTGTTCTTATCATTTGTTTAATCAATCTAAGCTTATTTCATGACTCTGTAAGTGCTTACTCTAGAAATACAAGATAGGATGATGATGATAACAACAGAAAAATCATCAATTACTTTATTTCACAGATGCAAAGTAAGCTAAGGTTCCAACTATGGCAGCATTAGTGTAAGTGGTTGGTTCTGTATGAACATAATCATCCCGTTTGTCGTGAAAGATATCGTTTTTGTCAGGGCCCCCAACAATGGCTCCAGTCAACATATTTGGGTTGTCACTCGTCGAGTTAAAATATTTAAATCCTTGTCGACATTGAATATGCTGTTTGTGGACATGGATCGAGGGCAAAGATGATCCTCTGTGGTGAATTTTCTTTGGGAATCTTGACCCATAACCCACCATGTATGACATTTTCATTGGATTGTCCCCTAATATATAGTCCACCTGCATCAATATCATGTATCATAATTCTTCATATCATACATTTAAGAGCCAATTAAACAATTAGGATGCAACTATAATTAATTAATCTTGTTCATGATATCTTAGTAGTCGAAACTACGCACTTGTGTTTTGGATAAGTTGCGCAAATGGCTTGGTGTGAGTGTGATTAAGCCTCCACATTCGAACGTGTATTCGTGTGATGATGTCGCCATGTATTTCGCGTACGTGGTGAGCAAGAAAGTTATGGCTGTTACGTGCTGGAGATTGCTCCAATACCCTTTATATATCAAACCTCCTACAATTTTTTTTTTTTTTTTTTCGCATAACATTAAACCCAACGAGCATCGTGCAAAACATATTGATAGTATTATTATCGAGATTAAGGTCCACCTGGTGTGTACAGTGTGGTCGATGTTGTCAAATTGCATACGAAGCTTTCAAATTTCTTACTGAACGTCACAAACTTCTCGTCCTTATTCACCAAATGTAGCTGCAAAGTCAGGAAAATAACTAATCTGAAATGAAATGTGTGAACATATTCGACTTAATTTCAATCTATGGTTCAATTTGTCTTACCCTGGCTAACAGAACATACACACCATAATGTTTATTATTCCAGTTGAAAATATCCGGCAACTCCTCAAACCCGAATGGTGGAATCAATTCTATATAACTACTCTCGCCGGTTGCTCGGTGCAGCCATGCCGCTCCCCATGCCAACTCATCCTGCATTAATATATCCAATCATCAGTCCTAACTAAAACAGAGTCATCATCCACCATGAAAAAAAAAAAAGAGTGATTAACCGATTAATGATTATACCTCGAATCCTGCAGATGGATAAAACTTGCCCACGAAATAACCAAGTGATTCATTATACCTTCCTCTATGCTTCACCGCAAACTTCATCAACCTTCTTCCAGTCCTCAACAGCAGCTTGCTGTACTCAGGATCTGATTCTCGGAAGACGATGGAGGCAGACGCCAGGGCAGCAGCAGTCTCGCCTGCCACGTCAGACCCCGGTTTTTTTGCAGACACGTAATATGCGGTTCTGTCAGTGTCCATGTCCTCTGGCCTCTCCCAGCACTTGTGGTCCTTGTTGGCATCCCCGACCCCCACGTACAGCCTGCCATGTTTTGCGTGCGCGCACTTGAGCAGGTAGTCCGTGCCCCACCTGATCGCGGCCCGCGTGCTCGCCAGCTGTGGGCCCAGCTTCTTGCCGTACTCAATCGCGCTCCACGAGAGCATGGTTGTTGTGAAGGCCATCGGGAGGTTGAACTTTACGTTGTCGCCAGCATCGTAGTACCCGCCAGTCAAGTCCACCTGTAATTAAATAATATATTAATAATAAAAAGCAATATATGATATTAATAACAAGCAATCTAAGACACACACGTGGTCCAACTGGCCGTCTGAAAGTCCAGAATCGCCTCGCCAGACGATTTCTTGATCGGCAACTTGAAGGCTGCCGGACCTCTGGCCTTGAAAGAACAGAATGGATTTCGAGAGGGCTTCTGCGTAGTTGTGGGCCCGTTTGGCTTCGACATTTCCAGGGTATGAGAAGAAGGAGGACAAGAGAAACAATATGGTGAGAGCCACCATATTCATCCTATAGAGGAGATGGGAAATGGGATGACAAACTATACAAGTAGAAAGGTTAACTTAACTTTGTTTTGTGTAGCCTTATTATGCATTAGGAATTATGTATATATGTATATGGTATCAGTGGCTGCAAATTCCAACGTTAATGTAGGCTTTTTGGATGATCCTACGTTGGTTGTTCAACACAACACGAATTAGTTCCATATTGAATTGAAAAATATCTATGAAATCTTGATATATATATATATGCATTCACATGTGAGGGAAGAATAAAAGGGAATAGGAATCCTCGTAATTCATTGTACAATGCTGCTTTTTTTCAGCTCAGTTATTCACTTGGTCAAGTTCACTACGTGCGAGATTTGATTAATATTGGTTTTTTATATTAAAATTTCCACGTAGCTTTGGTTGGATACATTTTATTTCAGTATTATTTTATTTTAATATTATTTTACACCAATTATTTTTCAGAACACGTGTAGTATTTCATTTAATTATTAATTAAGAAATATAATATTTGATTATGTTTGTAATTGATTAAAAGACCCAATTTTTTTTGGTAGTTAGCCACGGTATCCGGAGCTATGCCCCGACTAATCCGTAAGAGACATCAAATTGCTTACCACCTTGAGCGAATCCTGTTAGATTAAAAGACCCAATTTAAACAACTCTGTTAGTTTTTTTTTTTTTTTAGTTTAATTTTATTGATGTAGATAAATCAGAAAGTGAAAGTTGAGTTTTGGCCAGTCATTAATCAGACTTGTTCAACCTAACTGGCAAACTCATCATCATATATAATATTGTTATAATAATAATTTGGTCAAGCAAACCGACTAAAAAGAATCCCTTAAATCACGCGAAGAAGGAAAAATTACAAACTATAAAAAAGAAAACGCCTGCAAACAAAGTCATATATCTATCTATCTATTTTGATGATACTGCTAAAATGTTATCATCAATCATGTGAATTGAATTGAAGGACAGAATTTTCTGACAAAGTATTGCCACCCATATATATTATATATATTATACCGCAAGTCCTTTTGAAGCACAATATTATCTTCAGTCAAAATAGCTGATACAATATATATATGTACAACAAAGCCCATTGGCACTAATATCAGATATATATACCGCAAAGCTATTTTGAAATATCAATGCAGTAGACGTACTTGAGTTCAAATTACGTACGTAATTATTCGTTGATTAACTTTAGGAGTGTTTAAAATATATGTATATAGTAGCTCTCATGACTTGCAAGCTAGCTATAGCCTTGCCTGATTAATTTATTCTTTGTTGGGCTTCAGCTCATTAATTTCCCATAGCCTGGAAAACACTCAGGCGGCCTTAGTTTTTGGGACCAGGGTAGTCTATCTATGTGAATACTGATCCGAAATATTTTCGGCACTGTCCAGCCCGACTTTTTCTTTCTTTCTTTCCTTTTTTTTTTTTTTTCATTGGCTCGACAGGTTCAGGCATTGACATTTCGACAGATCAAGATTAGGTGACCGTAATATTTATCCAGAAATTTGTAATTTTTGATATGGCGAGAAAAAAGCGCAACAACCAATTTCTGATCGATGCGCTAGATTCAAAACAAGGACTACGTTAATTGTCATGAACATGCTCTACAAGTATTTTTGGATGTTTTGGTGTTTAATAATATATATCTTTCATTTAGATGATCAAAAAAAGAAGAGAGCTATTACTATTGCATCTCCAATATTCCCTTAGTAAGTGTAAAAATAATTATAGCGTGAAAGACATATAAGTTGTGTTCAATAATATCTATTTATTATATTAAAACTTTCTTCAAGAAATTTTCGAAAATAAGCTGGCCTGGTAATTATAAGTAATTCGAGAGAAGTCTTGATATAGCTGAATATTGAAGCATTTATATATGTCTTCCATGCGAGGCATGCATGCATGTTATAATTGTGTATCATGTTTTATGCTGACAAAAACTTCATCAATATATTCGTACGTAGTCAAACACCTAATTAAATTATTTTTCATAATGTAGCAACCAATTCCTTAATTAATAAACATGTTAATTTGGACAACATTTATCTTTATTGTTTCCTAATTAATACATGTCATCAAAACATTCAAACTCTTAATTAATTAATACCTGCAGATTAAAATCAGTCACGAGGAATATATTTCTCTCCAAAAGAAGAAAGAGTTTCAGTAGAGATGATAATCTTTCTTACACACGCTTAATTACTTAAATACTGATGATATGATGAATGATGATACACTATATTATTGCACCACATGTATATAAATAACTGTATATATATATGAGTGATTAATTTATTTAGCTTTTGCCCCAGCAAAATATGCCAAGGTTCCGATTGCGGCAGCATTGACGTACGTGGCGGGTTCCGTCTGACCGTAATTATTCCGGTCATCATTGAAGCGGTCACTCGAGTCGGGACCTCCAACAATGGCACCGGTCAATTCGTTTGGGTTTGGCTTTGGGGAATCCTTATACTGAAATCCATCGTTACAATTGATATGGCTACGATAAACATGAATCGATGGCATAGACGATCCTCTGTGGTGAATTTTCCTGGGAAAATTCGGCCCGTAGCCCACCATGTATGACATTCTCATTGGATTGTCCCCTAAGATGTAGTCAATCTGAAAAGATACACATACATATATATACACAAATAATTGGTTAATTTAATTGATCCATGACTTGAGTTTGATTAAAATCTATGATTATATATATATAAAAATAACAAAAACAAGTACGACAGCAAGAATATATATGTAAATTATACTTGTTTTCTAGCTAGGTCCCGTAGGACAGTCGCGGTGACCGTGCGATCAGCGCATTTGAAAGAGGTGTGCGAGTGTGTGGCCGACATGTATTTTGCGTACGTTGTAACCAATGCTGTAATTGCTGTTACATATTGAAGATTGGTTCCATCTATTTTGTATATTAAGCCCCCTGCAATGCATTATGCATTTTAATTTCCAGGTAATGTATATATGCATGTACAATAATTGTATTTAACAATTAAGTAACAATACTACTAGATAATAATTAATATTCTATTATTACTTAAAAAAAAAAAAAAATTAATTTCCCACCTGGTGTGTACTGTGTGGACGAACCAGGCAGTATATTGCAAATGAACTCTTGCGCTTTTGCATTCATGGCGTTGAATTTGGGATCCTTGTTCACCAAACTACGCTGCAAATTAAATCAAAAGTCATGAAGAAGAAGACACGCGGATCGAACTAATTAGTTAATTATGTGACAGACAAATTAATTTATTGATCTAATTAATATGAAATTAAATTAATCGATTGACTATGTACGAACCCTTGCTAACAGAACATATGTACCGGCGAATTTGTTGTCCCAGCTGAAAATGTTGGGGCTGTCGTTGATGTTGAATGATTCATACATTTTCAGATACTTATCATCCTTAGTTGCTCTGTACAGCCATGCTGCTCCCCAACCCAACTCATCCTGCATCATGCAACATTAATTATGTATGTATATAAGTACTAGTGGATCGATCGATATATAATCTGATTGAACACTAATTAACAAGATTAATCAATCCACTAATTATTTAGTTAATAGAAGTAGGCTGTAATTAATTAATTAATTACCATGTATCCCGAGTAAGAGCAGTAAAAGGGGCACACGAATGGTGAGAGCGAGTCGCTATACGCCCCACGGTACTTGTTGGCAAAATCCATCACGCTTTCGGCAGTTTCCTGAAGCTTCTTGCTGTAGCTCGGGTCGGCTTTCCGAAACACGACGGAAGCCGCCGCCAGGGCCGCCGCCGTCTCTCCCGCCACGTCAGACCCCGGTTTGCTTGCTGACACGTAGTACGCAGTCCTGTCGGTGTCCATGTCCTCGGGCCTCTCCCAGCAGGCGTGGTCTTTGTTCGGGTCCCCGACTCCTGCGAATAATGTGCCGGGCCTGGCGGTGGCGCATTTAAGGAGGTAGTCCGTGGCCCAGCGGACCGCAACTCTTGCGGCGCTCAGCTGTGGGCCGAGCCGCTTGCCGTAGTCGATGATGCTCCAGGAGAGCATGGTGGCGGTGAAGGCCATGGGGAGGTTGAATTTGACGTTGTCCCCCGCGTCGTAATATCCGCCCGTCAGGTTCACGTGTTCCGACTGCCCGTCCGTGAGTCCGGAATCGCCTCGCCAGGCGAGGTCTTGACGGACGCCGTTGAGGCTGCCGGATCTGTGGCCTTGGAAGAACAAAAGGGCTTTCTCCAGGGCGGCACGGTAATCGTGGGCCCCGTCGACTACAAGAGGCTGAGGGTACTGCAGGGATAAGAAGAGGATGATGATGAGTGGAAAATGGAAATTACATGGTGCACTAGCCATATATGAGATTAATTAATTAATGTAGTGTACGTATGAATAAAATTGATCCTTAGAGGGTGCATGCAGCATGAATTTATATAGTTAGCTAATAATTAGCATGCTCAAATCACAAGTTTTGCAACGTCAACGTTGATAATTTTTTTTTTTTTTTTTTTTACTTAATTTGTATTAATGACTATGATGATGGGTATGGAAATTATTAGCTTGGATAATTTATGTCAAATAGATCATAGACTTGAAGCTAGAAATATATAATGCTTGTACCAAAAAAAAAAAAAAAAGAAATATATAATGCTGGCGTCTAAATTCAGATATAATGATAATTCTTTTCTCGCTCATTCTCATGTGTCCAATTAATTACATTTTGACGACCGATATTCTATGACATCTATATATATTATATAAATATAAAAATAATAAAAATTTTATCCACCTTTACAAATTAAAATTAAAACTATCTACAAATTCTAATTGAAACATAATATTATTTTATGGATTAATTGAATAAAAAACCCCAACCTTTTGTTTAATTACAAATAAAATTCAACTTTTTCAATTTGGCAAAAAAATACCAAACTTTTATTAAGTGTTGCAATTTTGTCTCACCCGCCGGACTTCCGCCAACCGCCACCCGTCGCCGGTCAACTTCGCCGGATATTGAAAGTTTTTACATGAACTTGTAGCTCTCCTCCGTGCCGACAACATATCCGAGTTTCACGAAAAAATTCTGACGATAAGGCTTCTAATTTTCAGTCAAAGGTCGTAGATCTACAAATTTTCTACGTCCTTTGACCAAAAAATTTTGTGGTTGGGAATTCAAGGACGGAGTTAGATGGGGGCCACGGACCCGTGGGTGCCCCTGATTTTTTTAAGTTAATATATTTACCATATAAATATAGTATTAATTCAAAGCATATGTGTTATAAATATTTACATTTATAAATATTAATACAGAAAATACTACAAATATGTATAAAAATGAAAAATTATTACAATATATTAATAATTAAAATTTATTTTCTATGCTATTTTAATTTAATTTAATGCTATTATTTATTTATTAAAAAATGTGCTAACAATCCTTATATTTCACATTCTAAATAAGTTTTTGAAATTATTTATAATGATTTACTCCTTCAGTCTCTTCTCTTTATTGTAAATCGATTAGTGATTTATTAAATCGAGTATTTAGTTTGACTGTTTCATTTTTAGTGTTTATTTTTTGCTTTTTTTTTGGTAATCACATATTTTGACTTATTTATTTATTTTTTTTCTTAAAAATGTTCATTTGATAGATTTCATCAACAAAAATGTTATGCAATGTGCTTCAAAAGATCAATTTAAATCAATTTTTCAACCAAAAAAAAATCCATAAAACTTAAATTATAAATCCATGAATTTTTTTTTTTGTTTATTTTTTTTAAAGTTTGAGGTTGATACAAATTTTAAGTATTTAAAAGTTGATGGTAAACATGTCGATAAAATACTCTTTTATATGAAATGAGTATTTTGACTTAGACTACAAGCTTGTTATTTAATATTTAAGATCATGTATTTTGACTGAAATTCCTAGATCCGTCACTAGTTAGGATATACTGTATTTCATTTTTCTCCCACCATGAAAATCTCCCAATACTAAAATCACAACCATATGTGTTGTATTCAAATATTTAATGGCGCGAAGGATATATATTGATTTGTAGAGAGAAATGAATATGATGTGCCTAGCTTCTTATTTCTTAATTACTTCTTTTCGGGCATGAATCCGTGGATATCCGACAACAATTATATTCTCTGACCCGTATTATAATCAGGCTTGGCCAAATATATATAAGAGTAACATAATACTTACATTTAGTAGGACCTATCAAATTTAAAAAATTAAGTAGACTCCACTCCATGTGAGTGTTATGTACACTTGTATGTACATTTATTATGTACTTGTAACATTTTTCTATATATAACTGTATAGTTGAAGTTACGTTGCCTTCCAAAGTCAACTCTTACAGTTTAATTTTAATTATCACAAATTCATATCTTAATGCTCATTTTCAACACTCTTTATATATACAAGGCATGAGACTAGTGAGAATTTTACCACAAGACTAGGAATCAATCAATCCAGGCCAAGCATAAAATCGATCAAGTAATTAAGTAGTACTGAATGGGTGATATCTATACTTATATAAAGAGTTATCCCATTTACTAGAATTAGTAGGAAAAAAAGTCAAAAGTAATCAATGTATTCTATTTTCATCAATTAATTTTTATTTAATTGTTTTTCCCCTAAAATCGGTACAAAAAAAATGTACATAAAACAAAAAAAAAAAAAACAGATTTGATCGGGCAAGATAAAATCTTGATTTTACGTCAGCCAAAAAAAAAATCAGATTTCAAGCCTAAACTGAAGGATTTGGTTGGATATATATATAAAATATAGATATTGATTTACCTAAATCAATACATATCATGTTTAAAGTTTGTGTATATTGAAAAATCCTTCTTATCTTTGTATAAAAATCTTATCTAAATTGTATGTATTTATCTGATCTGATTTTTTCCTCTACATATAATGTGATTTCCGTATATCAAGATTTTGTACAATTTTCCTACATATTATAAAACTTTTATTTAATATTGCATCTTATAATATAATATTCCCCAAATAAATATATAACGTACCTCGCACATGTCACGTACTATATATATCTCGTACATTTTTCTTTATTCATGTATATAATTATAAGCCTGAATAAATAGCCTTAAAATTGTACACCTCGTGTATCACACGAGCTCTGTATTAGTAACATAATATACGCCAATAAAACATGAACTAGATGTGATTCATTAAAAGTAGTAAATGTATTGAACTATTATTGTAAAAACATTACATTTTTTAATTTCCTTTTCAAATGAAAAGGTTACTCCCAATCCACGGCTGTCTATATTGCATGGCTCTGACTCGTTGATTCAATAGGTATTTGGATCATGACATAGTTATTTGTCATGTTGGAATATCACTTGTGAGTTGTCTCACATTAATTCTATAGGAAAAATGAGTGTAGAAACTCACTAGTGATATTCCAACACATTCGTGAGCCCAAGCCCACATATCAGGCCGGGTAGAGAGATAAGTCAAACCCAGAGCAGGCCGGGTACAGAGAATCATTGCAGGTCCTAAGACATGTCCGCTCTGATACCATATTAGAACCGGGAAAGAGCGTACGGTCCCACTCCCCTCACTTGTGAGTCATTTGTGAGCCCAAACCCACATATAGAATGAGGGGCAAGGGGATTGATCGAGAAAGATCAGGCCGAGTAGAGAGATAAGCCCAAACCTTCGCTCTGATACCATATTAAAACCAGGTAGAGCGTGCGGTCCCACCAGATGAAGCGTAAGAGGTTCCATCCTAAAATTAATTGGTGACGGGAGAAGTAGTTCACTAGACTTATATACTAGACTCATTTTTCTCAATAGAATCAATGTGGGACAACTCAAAAGTGATATTCCAACATTTCGCTTTGGCTGTTTGTCAAAATTAAGCTTGAGAAATTTGAACCGTTCGGGTTCTAAAGATTATTTGTACGTAAGCCCAATTTAAGGAGTAATTACATATATAGTAATGATGATTAACAGTAGTAAGTGTTGCTTTTAAGTAAATTAAACGTGGCTGAGATGATGGTGCTGGTCGGGTGTGCTGGGGCCATAAGTTGACTAATCCCATCTCACGCCAAAAAAAATAAAACAAAATATTAATAATACACACCGTTACATACGGATGCTACTATTATTATACATATATTTTCACATACGGTTTGACCCAAAATAAAATCCTTAAAATTAAATTTAAAATGATATGTTCGAAAAGTATTGCTACTTATTTGCATGCACATTACATTAGACGAGTGCTGTCATGGAATTCTCGAAAATAATATAATTGATTGAGAGGCTTGTCTTTCCGCTGGCCCATTTAAAAACAAACCGGCCAACCCATGCCTACTTGGATCTGCCTAAATAAAATTTATGAAGTAATCCACTTGAGTAGCAAATCATATAGGCCATCAAGTTACAGTTGGATGGACTTTAACCAATAGGAAATACACACATTGTTGTACTTAGAGACCCGGCCCACGTTAAGTGCTCTATTGGTAAAATTTCCCCAGTCCTAACTAATTTGTCCAAAATGAGTTATTGTGGTTTTTGGAGTTAATTTTTTAAAAAAAATGGTATAGTTAGTGTTAGTTGTTAGTGAGATTTTAAAAATGTATTAAAATAATATTTAAAATAAAATAATTAAAATTGATTTGATGTAAAAATATGTGATAAATGATTGAAGATGATAGATAGTAAAAGTTATGTGAGTGGATGAATAGTAAATTAAAGTTGATTGATGTGTAAGAATGATTGGTTTAGATTATTTAATTTTATAAATAATATTCAAGATAGTGAAATTAAGTTAAAGTTGAATTAAATTTTGAGTAGGAATAGAATGAGAGTGAAGTAATTTATAAAGAAGTGTGTGTGTCCTTCAGCCCTTAGACTTCCCTCACCACAATTCCAGCCAAATGTAGCCTCCAAAAGCAGTAAAATACCACTAGAGGTGACTATTAAAACTTACACCTTAAGGTGAATAATACTTTTAATACATATGATATGACCACCCACTGTGTAGCACCAATCTTTTTTTTTTTTTTTTTTTGTTCTGGTGACAAGTGCATTTGCCTACTTTGCAGCACACACACATCTATAGTACAGATGATCATATATATATATATATATATATCTAACTTTAAATTATAGTTCCTAACCCTTTTGCATCATCACAATTCACATCCTTCTCAATCTAAATAGAGTAAAAGTCAGTTATCCCCAGCAAAGTAAGCCAGGGGTCCAACTATAGCAGCATTGACATAAGTGGCGGGCTCCGAATGACTGTAATCTGTTCTCTCGTCAGCAAAAAAATCATTCCGGTTAGGACCTCCAACAATTGCACCGGTCAACGTGTTGGGGTTGGGATTCGGTGTGAAGAAAAAGGGTTTCCCGCCATCACATCCGTACGACTGATGATGGACACTAACCGAGGGCACAGAGGATCCTCTGTGGTGGATCCTTTTCGGATAATCTGTGCCGTAATCGACCATATACGACATTTTCATCGGGTTGTCTCCTAATATGTAGTCCACCTGGCATCATCATCATCAGTAACATAAATGAACCAATTATTCAAATACAAATGGCAAAGTCAAAAGATAATAGTATTAATTTGTGTGACTTAAAAGAAACAGAACACGTATATGTATACCTGTTTTCTAGCTAGGCTACGTAGAGTCTTGGAGGTGATTGGTATATTTCCACATTTGAAAATATAGTTTGAGGTCGCCATGTACTTTGCGTATGTTGTCAGCAAGAATGTTATTGACGTCACGTACTGAAGATTGCTTTGCTCCATTTTATACATCAAACCTCCTGCATTCATTAATGTCAAACAAGTTAAAGCAAAATATAATAGTTTTAGTTCCCCCCCCCCAGAAAAAAACCCTATTTCAACTCTAATTAACCTGGCGTGTACTGCGTGCTCGAGGATGAGGAGTAAGTGTTGGGCAATATTCTGCACACGAAGTCTTCGGCTCGTTGCCTAAACGCCTGAAAGTTACGGTCGTTGTTCACCAGACTTCGCTGCACGAAACAAATGCAAACAGATCAGTATTTGTATGTTTTTGATAAATTGCAAAAAAACAAAATTTTGCCAAAATGCCTAGCAATGCTAAGAGTCTTACCCTTGATAGAAGAACATATGCACCTGCATATTTGTTGTCCCAGCTGAAAATGTCCGGCGAATCACTAGCTCCTAACGACGCAATAAAATTCAGATAGTAAACCTGATTAGTAGCCCGGAACAGCCACGCTGCCCCCCACAACAGCTCGTCCTACAAAATCAAACCCGATAACGAATCTCTACAAATTAATCCCAAATTTGTTTTTAAAAAAAAAAATAACAGAGAAAACGAAATAAAATAAAAAATCACCTTGTAACCCGAGTAGGAGCAATAGTACGGGCACACTTTCGAACTTAGCGAATCGCTGTACGAACCCTGGTGGCTTATTGCGAACCGCATCACATCCTGCGCGGTACTCAAAAGCAGCTTACTGTAAGTTGGGTCCGTTTTTCGGAAGACAATTGAGGCTGCCGCCAGGGCAGCCGCCGTCTCACCGGCCACGTCAGATCCCGGGTTGGCGGCGGACACGTAATACGGTGTCCTGTCTGTGTCCATGTCTTCTGGCCTCTCCCAGCAAGCATGGTCCGAGCCCGGGTCCCCGACCCCAACGTAAAGCCTGCCGGGAGTCGCACGCGCGCACTTGAGCAGATAGTCCGTGCCCCACCGGATCGCGGCCCGCGTGCTCTGCAGCTGTGGGCCCAGCTTCTTCCCATACTCAATCGCGCCCCACGAGAGCATCGTTGTGGTGAAAGCCATCGGGAAGTTGAACTTCAAGTTGTCGCCCGCGTCGTAGTACCCTCCCGTCAAGTCCACCTATCGAAAAAAAAACACCATTCGAAATCAAATCGAGACAATAAATGTGTGTCTGTGTGTGTGTGGGGGTGGGTGTTAGCCATTGAACTAATTAATCTCGCGTACGCCTGCCGAGCGGCCGTCTGAAAGTCCTGAATTAGCTCTCCAAGTGATCTCTTGCGGGGGGAGGCGACCGGACCTCTGGCCTTGGAAGAATAGAATCGATTTCGCAAGGGCATCACGGTAATTGTGGCTTGCGTTCACGTTGCCGGAGTTAGAGAAGAAGAAGAGGAAGAAGAATGTGAGGTGGAGAGATTGAAAGAGTTTAGAAGTAGCCATTGTACTTGATGATGAGATATTGGGTCCCAAGTACAAAGGCTCAAGTAAATTTGCTCTGTTTTTTTCTTTCAGTTTGTGCACTAATAAGTTAATTACATGCATGGGATTTATATAAGAGGCAATAGTTAGCGTTAATTTAGGCTTTTTTAATTAGTCATTCACTGTTGATTATTCTAATCAACCATCAATTTTATTTTTATTTTTTCAAAGTCAAGCGGATCGTGTATATTGGAAATCTCGTTTTGCTTTCTACTATTTCCATTTTCTATATACAGAGAATATTGATCGTATTATCTAATAATGTCACTATATCTGTAAATGTGTAAATACTTTTGACTGAATATATTATCTAATAATATCCGTTTGCCATATATATTGTACTATTATCTTATACTGAATGTGTAAATATTTTTGACCGGATATATTATCTAATAAATATCCATTTGCCATATGTAGAGAATAAATATGGTGTTGTCTAATAGAGAAAATATCGTCAGTACTCTCTCAACATATATTCATACATTTAAAACTAAATCTTTATATTCTAAATAATAATATAACCGAAAATACGACATTTTTTAACACACATGTATTTTTTTTTTTTTTCGGTACAACACACACATGTATTTTTTGTTTAAAAAAAATATATATGATAAATAATAGTTAGAATAATTTTTTGCATGTGAACAAAATACAAAGTACAACCGCTGCAGGTAACTGACTAAAATGGTAAACGTACCAATTATTAAGCAAGAAATCTGTTTCACTTAATTTAGTCATACTGAATCTGTTGACTAAAGTAGTACTTAATTTGACTCATTTATCCGAGTTGGTCAATATTTTCTGAATCAAATCAAAGGAAATTAATTAATTATATATAAGTATTAGGATTTGAATTCTGGTAATGTTACGGTTTCCAAAAGGATTGATATTTTTATACCATATGATACTAATTAAATGTAATGATTATGCATATGTGCGTGTATAAAAAAAAAAAAAAAAAAAAAAAAAAAAAAAAAAAGAGTTGATTTGCTGGTGGTGACATGATACAAACTAAACTAAATGATGTGTATTTTGAAAATGGTCTCAAATAATGTACTAATTGTAAATTAGGCCCATGCCCGAAAAGGGGGATATCATACACCATAAATCACGCCGATAAAAAAAAAAAAAATCACATATGTCATGAATAAGCGGCGCCAAAATTTATCTTTGTCCAAATCAGATGGTAGTGGGGGGTACTTCAATTCATACTTGTGATTTCAAAGATATTTTTATAATAAATTTTTTTAAAAAAATCATGAAATAGGTAGCACTGTTAATTAAGACATTTATTGATAACTATATCTAACTTATAAGACGAAGAGGGTTTAGCGCAGTGGCGCACACCTCGCTCGGTGTATCCCATATCCCGAGTTCGAGTAATTGGGACAGGAATTGGGGAACTAGTATTAATTTTCCTCTGTGTGTTAAAAAAAAAAAAAAAAAAACTATAACTAACTTATAAGTATATAGGTTCATTGGGATACTGTTTTTTGACTTTTGGAGAGCTTGCATGTTTTAATTATATATGGTTGATGAGTTACAATAGTCCAGTAGACTAGTATAATAAACAGCCAGAACACTAGTATAATATGGTTGATGAGTTACAATAGTCTTGTTTAACCTTCGTGTTTGATTGGGGAAACGACGGTGTTTTTCCTACTATGGATTCGACACCACACGCCGGCCATGGGAGCTCATCGGCTTGGAGGGAGAAGCCTTCCGAACCGGGGGAGAATGGTGTAGACTAATTTATTATTATTATTATTATTATTATTATTATTATTATTATTATTATTGAAACAAATATTTTTACAAGAAATTAGTGGGCAGCCGAGATACAATTTGGGCTCCCACTCCTTTGGCTATAGCAAAGCCTATTCTAGTATAAATGTGAGCAGCAGCTTTTGCTCCAATATCTTGGGCTAAGGAAAACTTTTGAATACGTCGGAGTAGAGAAACGGCCGCATCATCCAGTTCCCCAAAGGACGAGAAAGAGAAAGGTAGAAAGCCATACCCTTTTGCTTCGCACTTACCCAAATATTTGGTGCGCTTGCGCTGCGTTGCATCTCGAACTGCTCGACCAGCCACAAAGTTCGTCATCCCGGTTAGTGTCAGAGGAGAGGACCCTGTCAGATCCACGCAAACATCACGTCCCCCATCCCAGGAGTAAAGCAGCAAATCCGCAGGACGGAGGGGCTTGTCGTTCTCGTCACACAAGCCAATGTCAACCTCCTTGCCAACAGATATACCAGATCGATAACAAATATCAGCAAGAGTGTCACGGACCAGATTGTGGCGATGTTTGATACCAACAACACCAGCACAGGACACAGCATGATCACCGAAAATATCACCCTCGAAAACCCTGGAGCAGGCAGAACAAGGCGCCGGAATAGAAAATAGGGGAATGCTAAGACGATAACACAAAACACAGCGAAAGGTCCTACCGTTCATAGTCTGTCCCAAACCGGAAATAGGGGCAGCACAGAGCCAATCGGAGGCGTGATTCTCCTGCTGAGATTGCCATAAAGCCATCTGCCGTGTGGTCAAGGAGTATGTAGAGCCAACTGTTTTGACAACCCACGTGAAATATACATCTGCCAATTTCTTCATTAGTCGGGGGGCAGCGATAGTATCACTTGGGTTACTCAAGATATCAGTCCCAACAGTCAAGCTGAAAGCACTCACAGCATCATCAAAGGCGAGGCCAGAAGCAGAGACACCAACATTTGCAAGAAGTTTGGACTGTAATCCAAAAGACTGCAAGCGCGATGCAATGAACGCATAGTTAAGCACATCTCCGGCACAATAAACACCAAGTCCTCCATACATAAAAGGTAAGGTGGCTAACCTCCATTGCCAATCACCGAAACCAGGGCCTGATGCAGTGACTATGCGCTCCAAGGAGGAGCGGAGGGCCCGGTCAAAGAGGCGTTGAGCAGATTCAAAAACCCGGGGGGGGCAAGTGCGCATGGCAAAGTAGAGCTTCGAAACACCCGTACAAGCTCGAAGAAGCAGTAACTCACATTGGGGATCATTAAGCTTAGCTACTGCATCCATAAGCTTAATAGTCTTCTCAACTCTCTTCAACGCAAGTTCAGTGCCGAAACTCGAACTCACACTAGCCGATCCACCCAATAATTTCACACCGCGAGTAGGCCTAGCAATGTTAGGCGGAAAGACACCGGTGAGTCTGCTACGAGGGTCCTCCTTTGGCCAAAAAACCTCGGTTTTATCAACATTAAGATGTAGACCAAAACTAGGCCCATCCATCATGATCACCTCCAGGGCCTTACCCACCACCAGGGTATCGCCAATAATGGTACCATCATCAAGATACCAAGCATGCAAACACAGATCGAAAGAGTCCTTAATCTTGCAAATCAAGGGATGCAAAACTAAGGCAAACAAAAGAGGGCCAAGGGGGTCCCCCTGCTGCACACCTTGTGAGGACCATAAGGTATGCTCCCGATAATACAACCTAGCAGGACGAGAGTAGCAGAACTCAACCCAGCGGGATATGGAAGGGCAACGGAGACGAACCTCTCTCAACATGATCTCTCGGTCAACCAAATTGAAAGCGTTCTTAAAATCAACGAGCAACATAGAGAGGCCAATGTCATCACCGCGCTCCTCAATCAAACGATTCACAGCATGTAGAACAGCTTCACCACCCCCAGACACCCCTACACCAAACTGGAGGTCCTCGAAGTACTCGCCAAGCAAGGGGCCTATCAAAAGTGCAGAGACTTTAGAGACCAAACGCCTCCAAATCGTACCAACTGCTATGGGGCGAATACCACCTCCAGGTTTGACAAGAGGTGTAAGAGGTGCACTTGCGACATACTCACCAAGTGCCTTTGGGCATCTCCCATCTAAGAAAAGATTAACCACACATGTGATAGAAGAGATTAACTCATCAGATATCGCAATCGCAGCGCCGCTCAAACAATCCAGAAGATGTTGAGCACGTAAGCCATCTCTTCCACACGATGTACCGCGTGGAAAGCTTCTTATCCTGTCTAAAACATCACTGGGGGATGCAGAAAGAGTAGGGCAATCAACAGGTAAATGAGGCAAGGAAGGAGGAGACACGAGCGGGTGCTTGGCTTGTAACTCCACGAGAGTGTCATCATTATAAGGAGCAACGCCGGAAGAGGAAAGAACTCTCACAGCAGCAGTGTAATGCCCGTCAGAAATCTTTCGCTTACACTGCAAGATATTACGTTCTGACAAATCAAGGTGCTCTCCATCATCACCAGTGTAAGGAGGTGAAGTGTCGGCTAAAATTTCTCTCACAAGCTGCAAGTTGCCACCGGACAAGCTCCAAGATCGGATAGCATTGGAAATACTCTCCTCCTGTAGCTTACGTCTAACTCCCGACTTACACTCGAGATGGCTGCGTGGCTGAAAGGTTTTCAAAACGCAAAGGGGTAGCACAATCAAGTTAACCCAGCAAGAGAGGTCATCCGGGGACCCGATAACCAAATCAAGAGCACCCTTTAAGATTCGAGAAAATCCTAAACGGCACTTCGGCGGAATAGATTTCACAGTACACAACCCTTTGGAGAGCAAATTATCAAGAACTGCCACATCAAGGGAGCATGGTATATCCGCCACCACATGCTGATCAATAGGATGCGAAGGAGGGGGGGGCTTGGCAAAGCCATAGAGAACAAAACGAACCAAACCATCACCACAATCAGGAGGCGCAACATCACAACCATTGGCATGGCGACACTTAGTGCGCAAGGCATTAGTCTTAAGACAAACTCCACAAAGCCAAATACCCATACGCTTAAAAGTGACCTCAGCTTCAGAGAAAACACCCAAATTAGAGGAGAGGGCATCCCGCGTGACCCGTTCTGCATCACCACTAAAATGGCGCTCCCGGAGGTGAACACGTAAGGAGCCCCTAGTGAGTCCTTTACCACCCCCATTGGGACAACCACAAA